GGCGACCCCCTTTTTATAAAAGCCAAGTGACCCGCGACCCCGATACAATTGAAAAAGGTATTTTTAATAAGGTAATTAAAAAAACAATGAAATTAGTTTTTTAGTATAATTTTATTTTAAATTATGTTTAATAATTAATTTAATTCGATGGTTGAAATTGCATGTTATTAACCAGTCTCAAAATTCACGGGTGAGATTTTGTTAACGCCAACCTCATGTCATTCTCAACATTTAATTTGTTCCTCTCAAAACTCTAAACACATGTTTCAACCAACTGTGACAGAATTGCGTACCCAGATTACACTTATTTTAATTTTTAAAAAATATATGAAATTATTCAAACTTCAAGACACCATTAAAAATAAATATTGCATTATAGTTGAAACTTTTTTTACTTTACTGCATAAGTTGGCGACCCCACAGAAAACCCGTCGCGACCCATAGGTTGGGAACCCATGCTATATAGTAAAAATTTTTTAAATTTATTTGTTTTGATTTAAAATAGTAATTTCAAATTCAATAGTATATAAAAGATAACAATTGAATTGAAACAAATTGCATTTAGTGCTAAGTAGAGTTTTTTTTTTTAATAATTTGTGTTAATGTGTAACATACATTAGTTCTGTTATGCACAAAATTAATTATCAACTTTGCTATCTCTGTGATTACCCATTTGTGATACTTTACTTCAAGTTAAATTTGCATATGAATTTCAAAGATAAAATTAACCACTTTAATTTCACTTTAATTTTGACCTTTATATAGANAATTATCAACTTTGCTATCTCTGTGATTACCCATTTGTGATACTTTACTTCAAGTTAAATTTGCATATGAATTTCAAAGATAAAATTAACCACTTTAATTTCACTTTAATTTTGACCTTTATATAGATATACAAAGAAGATATTTTGATAAGCAGAATTCTTATCAGATTACATAGAAACAAAGTTTTGTCATAATGATATCATTAATGTGTAGCCTATCTTATATTATTTTTATGGCTATTCACTCATATTTGTTTAAATAATTTTTTTCCCTGCAGAGTTTTATTGCTTTTTGTGGATTTATAACGGAACATTTGACTGCCAAAGGTGATACAAATGTTTTACCTTACCAAGTTTTAGTGAAGCCTGCAGAAAATTCTAAAATTTGGGTAAAATTAGAATTATTATTATTGTTTTTTTTTTTTTTTTTGGTAATGGACATTAAANCATTTGTTCTGACAACGAACTAACATTTACTTATACATATGCTGGTGATTATGAAATTGACCTAAGTCAAAAATAGGAAATCATTGAATTTATTTCACAAACTATTTGTAAAATTTTACAATCACATTAAAATACATTTGTTTTCTTTTTATGATCATACATTTTTTTTAATTTTTACAAACTCAAAAATAAAAATATCTTAAAACAAAAAATATATTAATTTGACTACTTTCCTAATCACTGGCAAATACTGTATTTCACAGACTATAATACTCATCTTAATTTTTAAGCAATTTTTTAAAAAAATAACATTTTTACCACCTAAATTCAATCCTTTTATACGGATTGAAGCAAACACTGATCCACCAATCAATGCTTAGTAGCGCTATCAGACATTCGCTGATTGTACGTGGTCACACAATGATCGCTGGCCAATCTGCGGTCATGGATTCAGAACCACCGGTCATTTCATGATCTGAGTTTCTATGGCTACAACCATTGCTTGTTTGAAAAGAGAAAAAGCGCGGGAATTGTGTGTCCAGACAATTCTATCCCGACACTCCACAACTCATGTTCGTCACATTGGTGCACTGCTGCTGCCAGTTGAATTCAATGTTGCCATATAGAGGTAGGTTTCCCGCAGCATCAAATATATGGCCATTTTTAAGACACGGGAATTTTAAATCAAACACTGGACATTTTTATATTAATTTCGAGTATAAGACGCACCTGAATTTTGGAGGCAATTTTTTGAAGAAAAAAGTGCGTCTTATAGTCTGTAAAATATGGTATATGAATGTTTTATAAACATTTTTTAATGTCACAATTACTTATATTTTAATACTAATTATTCTAAAGAAATTTTATTTTTGTAAATTATAGTTTTTAATTGAAGTTTTTGAAAAATAAATAAATTAATTGAAGAATTTATTTTTAAGTTATAAATATAAGAAAGCTTAAATATTAAATTTGTTTAGCAAATCAGTAATTATATTTGATTTAATACTGTGATAAAAAATTATTCAGAACAGTTCATTTAAACTGCATATGTGCAAGAGGATGCCATTGTTGTTTTTTTTTTTCTTATTTCGTATTACTTATCAATATCTAGCAGCAATTTGATGTCATTGTCTGTTTTCGTTTTTCACACAAAACAATCATGTATTTGCTATGAATTTTTGCACTGGCAATTTTCAAAATGTCAAGTCTAATTGAACAAAGAATGTGCATTAAATTTTGTTTTTGCAATGGAATTACTGCTGCAAAAATGTTGGTGGTGATAGTCTATCAAAAACAAGAGTTTTTGAGTCATACAAGATGTTCAAGAAAGGCATAGAATGTGCTGAAGACCATCCACTTCAACTGAGTCAGAGATTTGGTGTTCAGTGATTGTTGTATAACAATTAGGACATTATTGAACATGTTCCAGTAACAGTTGGATCTTGTCAAGCAATTTTAAAAAATCATTTGGACTTTAGAAATGAAATTTTAAAAGATCATTTGGACTTTTGTAATGACTTGAGAAGCATATTGCTTCTCAAGTCATTACAAAAACGTTAAATTTTTTTCTAAAAACAACAAAGTGTTCAAGTGGCAGAGAAAATGCTTTCTCAAGGCAAATCATTCTTAAAATGCATCATTACAGGTGATGAAACATGGATTTATGCTTTTGATACCAAAACAGCTCAACAATCAGAGTGAATGGCACTCAAAAGCATCACACATGACCTCGATTTTTGACTGGCTTTGACATGGGCTGAAAAGACAATGTAAAAGCCAGTCAAAAATCAAGGTTGTGTTGACTGTTTTCTTGGATTGTCATGGTGTTATGCATCTACAACACAACTAAACACTAACCTTCTGACACAATAGTCATTTAACTTTGTTTACCCCTATTATATAATTACAATTTCTTTTATGGTTGATATTATGTCATACCATATGGGATTAATCTCCATTCCATTATTTAAATTAAGCTGATTTTTACATTGTATTATTGTGATATGCTCTTTAAACCATTTTTACAATGGTTTAAAGATACAGGTAACCCCCATATAACACGGTAGTTATGTTCCAAAAAATTGCCGTGTTATGCGAATCCATGTTATACGAAACAAAGAACTAATACGAAAAGGTGGGTTAGGTTCCAAAAATTAAAAACATGCTACTATATTTTCATAATTAAGTTAAATATCTTCATTAAAATTTTCTTAAGTGATACATATTAATATAAATTAAACAATATTTTCTTCGTCATCACTAAAAACACTATTAATTAACCGAGAGCGTTTTCTTTTTGGCAAGTTATCCTTATCCTCTGAGCATTTTTCTGCATTATCTTCAGATCCATGCTTTACCTTTTGCAAAATGTATGTAATTTTAGATTGCTTGCTTCTAGTTAAAAGGTCTTTATAAATTTCCTTATATGGTGCTAAGCACTTATGAAGAATAAAGCAAGTATGGAATAAGGGAAAAACATTCGGCAACATCAGAAGCAGAAGCGTCGCGATCTGGCAACATTGAAACAAGTTTCGAGAAGGACCACGTGTATCGACAGAAGGCGAGAAGAGAAAATTTACATACTTAAGTACTAATAGTTCACGAAAATAATAATTTTCGTGAACTATTATTACTTAAGTATGTAAAAATTTATTACATTTCCTGTTGTACGAGGGTTTTACCCAATTCTCGAACCGTGTCAGAGTGAATCCGTGCTATAAAAGTACCGTGTTATACGGGGGATGGTACCAATTCTCGAACCGTGTTAGAGCGAATCCGTGCTATAGAAGTGCCGTGTTATACGGGGGTTACCTGTACATCTTTTTTCTATATAATATTTTAATATTACCGACATCAATTCTACATACATTCTCTTCACAATGAGGGAACCATGGAGACTGATAATATTTTAACTGAATGGCTGCTTCATGCTCCTACAGTTTACTCTCAGTATTCATTTTGTTTCTTCTATATAATACATTTTTTTATTTCAAGTACAATTTAACTTATACACAACACCTGAAAAATTTATATTTTGTGATTAAATTTGATCATTAAACTTTACATTTTAATTCACTTTTTTCTTTAGCTTATTTGTAGCCAATACTATATCAAATTTAATAAAATATTTTTTATATTTCTCTAATATATCCTGTATAAAAGGAAAGGATACATATTTATCATCCTGTTTTTTTTTAATTTAACTTTATATCTATTTTCTTTATAAATTTTAATGTATTTGGATATCTGTTTATTATAAATCTTGATTTAGTACAGCTATTGGAAGAAAAAAGACATGAGGTTTCACTAATCTTATGTTTTATAATTGAATTTTAACTTGTTTATTTTCATTGTAGGTTTTAAAAGTTAATTTAATTTTGTTAAAAGATTATTCTTATAAAGTCTTTTATTTGTGGCTTTTGATTTCTTTAATACAGACATGTATTTTATATACTAGAATTTATACATGATATATTACTTAATCATAATCTTTTTATTTTTATGTACTTTATATTAATGTTAAAAATTTTGTTTAAAAGATATGTATTACATTATTTTAATGTTACATTATTATTTTCAGGCATCAAAAACTCGAACATATGTGTATAATACATTACAGGAAGCTATAGAAGAATATAATATAGATCCTAATAAACGACACAATGTTTATGGTTTAGTTACACATTGTGAAATTGTTTCAAATTCAAGTAAGTAAATGAAATATCTGTGCTGTATTTTATAATTCTAATGAAAATTATGTTTTAGTTGTTATACATTCCAAATACAATTTTTAATTACAGTAGAGTCTCTAAAACACGGCCTAATGTGGACCGAAGTTTATTTGGCTGAAGGGTGGCCGAGTTTGTGAAAATGCTTGGTTATTGGGAATGGGGTTAAAAAAAATAAGTACAAGTGTTTCCTCAGAAAATACTGTACTGTACTTGTATGTATTGGTTACTTGAGAATACAACAGAGAATAAACTGCCCAAATACCCTTAAACAAAGGAAAAGTACGTCCTTTATGAAGGCATAGAGCAGGGGTGGCCAACCTGCGGCTTGCAAGCCACATGCGGCTCTTTGAAGGATTATTTGTGGCTCTTGATAAATGTACCTGAGTTCCCTTTTCATTTTTGTGTTATTATATTTTAAAAAATTGTTATCGTTCCGTATGTGTTTCAAAATGTCTTTTAAATTACTAACAACAAATATGAAAGACTAAGTGCAACGTTGTAACAAATTTCATTTCCGTCCAAGTTAAGAATGATATGACTCATCAAAAAGTGCGCAAACGAATATAAACAGTGGCATAATCGTCCGTTATCGACCGACTCCAGACCGATTTTGAATTTGTAAGCTGTCATTGCAATGGACAGTTGACATTGTGCTCTGGAGGAAACAATTTGTATCACTCTTGCTACGGATACAATTTGTAATCTGAAATTTTTTGCATACCTTTTTAATACATATTTAATTGCGGCTCGTGAAAAATTTCAAATTTTGAAAAATGGCTCGGACTATCAAAGAGCTTGGCCACCCTGGGCATAGAGCCTTTACTACATGAAAATGAAAATTAATGAATACACTGTGTACAGTAATTTACCTGATAAGACAGATCTCAGAAAAATACTTTATGAGGCACAAAGCTGTCTATAATGAAAATTAATTAACTAAGGATTTTTTCGCCTTGCCAGGGTGTGGCTGAGTCATCCGGACTGCCGGGTTATCGAGTGCCGAGTTTTTGAGACTCTACTGTATTATAGAAAAATAATCTAAATGCTATTTTAATAATAAGCTCTAATTAATTAGGCTACTTTACTGCTGCTATTAATGATTATTAATAGTAATGGTAAAGTAGCTTGATTCATTACAGTGATTGTTTGGTTTATTACTAAAGACATCAGGTTTTGAGATGTTTTTAGTAATAATTTTGCTGTATAATGCTGTTTTAAATTGTTTCAAAATAATTTTATTTCAAATAGATGTTATAGGAATGCATCATTGAAATTCATGTGTTATATAAATATGTGTGTGTGTTTATGTTTGAACATATAAATTTCCAAGTGCTTTAAAATATTGTAATCTATACCTCTACTCCAGAGCATCTATAAATAAATGTAACCTGACAACTAACCTCATTCAAAACTTTCAAATTTTCAACTTAAAACCTATAAGGACAAATGTACTTTAATCTCACTGACTGACTGAAATGTTTGAATGGAAGCACACTTCTTATAGAAAAATGAAATGACAGCTACTAAAAGTGAGATGGGCTCCACTGCAATGTGGATGAAGTTATGCAATGAGCAGCCTTCCATTCCAATGAATCATCCAAATGAGGTGAGACATAGCTGATAAGCTACTGATGTATCAAGAACAGTTTCTCACAGTTAGCAGTCTTGGCAGATGGTTGTTTGTCAGAAACAGTTTTGCCATGTATATATGTTACTGTAAAAGTCCAAAGTCCAGTAACTCTTAGAAATTGCCAGTAAATCTGGGAATTTACTGGTATTGAGTAGTAAAAATCCAAAATCTCTAATGAAATATCCATATTGTTGGCTTTTATCAAGGGATACTGGCAAATGTCAGGATTTTCTGATCATCCAAAAATTTATATAGTACATTCATTTTTTCTCGATAGAAATATGTTAACCATAAGTTACAGTATTACTAAGAAATACTATATAATACAGTATTAAATTTATTTATTTTAATGCATAAATACTGTACAGTGCTGTAATACTGTACTCTCTAAAACATTTGTTAATTGTAAATTGTTTAGGTCCAAATGCTCTGACAGATGATAGCTATGTGGGGCAGATTATATGGTTTTAAAAGCTAATAATCAGTATTTATTACTGCAGTTTTACAAAGAGTTTACAGATTGATACCTGAAATTGAACCTAAATTTGAACTCATTTCAAATGGAGTAATCGACTTTTAATGATTGATGGTCTTTACAAATTAAAAAAAGTTTTGTTATGTAGAAATTTAACTTTCTTATAGAAGCAATGTTACTTACATTTTTGGTTGAAATAGCGGCGTACAATGCAAAAATTTATTATACAGAGAAATTTGCTATATAGAAGTTTGTACTATTGAAGTTTGACTGTATATGCTCTTGATTTTAGTAGTATCTTGCCCTTGTACATCATAATTTTTCTAATAACAATAGAGTCATACTAGTCATCTAACTCCATTCTGGAGAAAATTTTTCAGTTGAAATAACGTGATTTCCAATACAGACTAAGTTCATATATAATTAATTGGGGACCTCCTGTCCTAAGCATAATCTCCTGCTTGTAAGCTTTCCTTATTTGGTTTTGACTTTCATCTATCTAACTCTGTTTGAGATTAACAAAGGATGGACAGATGGCAACAGACAGATGGATGCCAGTGATAATTATAGGTCTACAGTTTGAAAATTGGAGCCCAATTACACACCATAAAAACCTTAAATCACCAGTACTATTAAAGTTCTTTACTTTAATATACTTAATTTTCAGACAAACATTTTTGTTTACAATTAACTACTAAAATCATATTCAGATCTCTCTAACATTCCAAAATTGGAATATAATAAAAAAGGACAATGTATTACAAAAAGGAGAGAGAACATATTGATAATTATAAATAAAAACATTTATCTGAAAATTAATGTTCTTTACTGGTGATTTAAGATTTTCATGATATGTAGTTATTACCTGAAAAATAATGTAATCATGAAGAAAAAGTAATCACAGTTTCAGATTCATTCATATATAACTTGTCTAAATTTGAAGTAACTAATTGATTGTGTTTAACTGCAAAAATTGCAATAAAAGATATCAAACACTATATAAAAAATATCAAATAATAACAAATGTCAAAAGATTTTCTGTTCAGATTTTGCTTAGTTAAACTTATTGACAAGAATTGGTATTACTTTTTTATTATTATGACAGGAATAATACTTTTACCTCAGTAATATTGTGAAAATATGCCATTATTTTCTGTATTTTATGTTTAAAAAGAATTACTAACTTCATTTTGTTTTAAATTCTGATTTCTTGCAGAATATACATATTTTTTGCAACCATGCAAAGGTACCAGTATATATTTATTTAAAAAAAAATATAATCACATTCTGTCATTCTATCCTTTTATTTAATTATTTGTATAATTATATAAGATAAAAATAATTACATTTGAGTTACCACTACTGCTATTGTACACTTTATTTTGTAATTAAAATATGAAATTTTGAAAATGAAATCATAATTTTACAGAATATTTATTTTTTTAATATTTGGTTTCATTTATTACAAATTTATATATTAATTGCTAAAGATTTAAATTTTTGTTGTTAAATTTTTAAAATTTTAATTTATTAATATATTTTTAATATTAAATNNNNTATATTTTTAATATTAAATAAAATAAATTTTATTGTAATTAATTATTTACTTGAAATAAAATTTTAAAAAAATGAAAAAGTTAATATTTCTATTTTAGCAATACCAAGTATTATGAATTTACTGGTAATTTCTTTGATTTTATCACATTAAATATGATGATATTCTGAGAATTACAAATTTTACAAATTTTGAACTGCTTTTTTGTATGCATATAACATGAACATTGATAAGAGGAAATAGTGTAAGAAACTTCTAGTAGGTGAGGTTGAGAAAGCTGTTTGTATAAGTATGTGGGGGAAAAACATGAAAAAATATTCTGTTATAGAAAATACTTCAAAATTTAATCAGATCAGGGAATGACAGAACATTTTTAGTTCATAAATAGTTTCTCTATTTTTTCTTAAAATTTCTTGATTACATTTTGAAATACTACGTAAAAATATATAAAATACTTCTAAAAAATATATTTTATCAGTTAACTTTTTGAATCAATAAAGTACTGTACATTGAATAATAAATACACTTTTAATCAAGATAATATTGTAAATATCAACCAAATCCTTAAAGACCATATTTTATTATTTCCCAAGTTTAATAACAATGAAAAATTTCAAAATTAATAGGAAACATCTTTATTTTATTTTGTTTCAAATATATGTGTAACATGTAAAAATTTGAAGTTTTTTAGTTATTTAAAATTGACTATTTTGATTTTAAAAGAAATTAATATATTTTTTCATTTCTTTTTTGTGTAATTAATAATAATAATAATAATAACTTTGTTACAAGAAAAATTTGAATTACATAAACATTTTTCAAAACAGGATTTCAAAATTCATATATTGAATTAACTATAATGGACAAGTCAACTAATAATTTTAATTGCCTTATCTTTGGAAATCAAGATGAAAATTTTCCTAATATTGAACCCGGTGATGTTGTCAGACTTCATAGAATGAAGGTAATTACATTTTTCATAATGAAAATGCTTTATAGAAGGAGTTTATTATTTCATAAATATTGTATGTTCTAAGTCTTACTAAATTTACATTTTAAAGTTTTCTTTACTGACTTTACATTTTCTTTCATCTTTTATAAGCATGCCAGTTAGTATTTTCTATTTTGCATATTCTTCAATATTCAAATCAGTTTATTAGTCAATATATGAATATTATAATATCTATGAACAATTAATATTCATCAAGATAGATAGAAAAAAGTATAACAATAATTTGTGCTTTTTTATTATTTTAACAATTTAAAACATTTGTTTGTGTTATTAGTTGATTGTTTTTACATGCATTAATTGTATTTTGCTGGAATCAGACATTGGAAACTATAAACTGTAAGGTAAGATATGAATGGTTTTTAATATAAGATTGACAGAGAGGAATGCTCCAAAAGTTTGATGAGTTGATTTAGTGCTGTATAATGCACCTGCAAAAACTAAAAAACTTTTCTGACAAAAATTGGATGATAAAACATTATCCTTTAAAATTTTGCAAATAAAGCATTATGATATTGTCGGATATATGTAAATTTAAAAAGGAAAATTATAATAATTGATATAAACATGGATTTTAATGTAGTAAATTGTGGTAAATGTCATTGATGACAGATTGTTTATGCATACATAAACAAATAAAAAATGTTAATGATTATACTATTATTAGTTATATAATAATTATATTCTTTAATGTTATATCTAAAGAATACTATCTTTAAAAATATATTTGAATATTGCATCTATTATTAAACTGCAGTCAAACTTCAATATAGTGTCCTCTAAAATATTGTGAAGTCCACCATTTTCCCTCCAAAAAAAAATTTTGTTATTATTGTATTTATATAAATATACATGTATTTATTTATACTACATTATCTGTATAATTTTAGTTTTAATTATTTTATTTTAACTCTTTTGCTAAAAATGTATTCACTTTAATTAATCAGTTAGAAAATTTTTTTTTTTTTAATTTTAAACTTTACGAACTTTATGTTTTATATTTTATTTATTTATTTTTTTGTTCTGTCTGGTGGTATAAAAAAAAACAACTGTTAGCTATCAGACAAAACGCCCTTTAGAACCAAATTTCAAAGAGAAGATGCATATGTAAACTTGACACCAAGATTGTTTATCTGTCAAGTAATGGTGTAAAGGAATTTCACCTATTTTTCCAATTTTAGGGATCCCTTTCCAAATTTTTAGTAATCAACTTAAAATAATTTAGACAAACAAATTAGAATAAAAAAATTTATCAGTTAATTGTTATAAATCTCACAACATGCAAAGGAAAAGATGAGGGGATGCCCATCATGTCCCCCTTTTTCAATGGTGTTATATGACCAATGGTATCACATGGATACACATCATTTCTCATTGACAAGAGAGGAGGAGGACCACTAGATGACCAATCATGCATTTTACAAATTATCTCACCTTCTTCTGGAACTAAGGCATGATTGATCAAAAACAAAGGAAAATAGAAAGAAGTGATGAAATTAACACAGAGTGAGAAAAAATTAACTCAAAGAGTGAAGAAAGTGAGACAGGATCCAGAAACTGACTGATTGACTGGCTGGACAGGGGATTGACCAGACGAGACATCCAACCTAGCGAAGGGCCAAATAAAGGAGAAAGAAGATGAAAAGGGAGAAGAGAACAGAGAGAGAAAGTAAAGAAGGAAGAGAAAACAGCCCTTTTCTTGGTATGTTGTAAGTTGCACGCAGTTTGGATACCCCCCGTTAGGTACCCCTCATTCTATAATGGAAATAGGCCAATTTCTTAAATTGGGTTTTATAATTTTGTTTAGAACTTTGTTTTTCGAAAATAAACTCTTGTAACTTGATGCATTCATCCTCCTGAGAGGCTCATTCCTGGACTTTGGAGTGACTCTTACTCTCACACCTTAACTATTTGTTTTTTTTTTATACTAAGTTGGCAGTGTTCTGACAAAACACACCTGGTGGCAGAAATCTACCATAAACTTGAGTAATCTAATTTTTGATGGCCCCGACCCCCATGATATATCACTTTTTAAAGCACAATGAATATTTGTGAATAGAATTTTTCCATAAATATTAAAAAATGAATTTTTCAGTATCTATGATTTACTTACTGAACATACAATTTTATGTTGGAAATGTCATTAGGTACATTTCAGTATGCATCAGACAGCACATCAGTGAACCATGATGTACTAAAATGTGTACCAATTAATTCATTGGTGCAGTGACCAATGCACATCACGCTCATTGGGCTATGGATATGGTAAATTCTGATGAAACAATATGGCACTTCATTGTTATATTTAGCAGCTTAAAAAATAGTCATAAAAATTGAATAACAAGGTTAGCATGTAATATTTTTTAATCCCATATATTGTCATTGGGCTGCAATTTGAAAAAATTGTAGACCTATAAATTCCCACTGTTGTCCATCTGTCTGTCTTTCCTTAATCTCAAAAATGGTATTAGATAGATGAAATTCAAGACCATATACAGAAAGCTTAGTGGCAGGAGGCTCCGATTAACTATATATGAACTTCTGATTTTAAGTGGAAGTCATGTTATTTCAATTGAAAAATTTTCTTTTAGTGGAGAGCATATATTTTAAATTAAATAAATTAAAAATATGATTAAAAATTATAGGCTGGCATTGTGATAATGTCACAGTAAATAATTGCTCATTAAATATAAGATTATTTCATAATGATTAAAAAATATTTTTACAATCCAGATGTTCAAGGAATAGCTTATTGAACCATTCACCAGTACATCAGTTGTGATTGAGACTACTTCATGCTGGAATGTACTCATTGTTATCACCAAATACCAAAGAAATCTACACACAAGTTTGTATTTAAAAGACAATACAAAATTTACTTGTGTGTAGATTTCATTATCATATGTAATATGTCATATGTTTTAGTTAAATGGCACACTTGAATTAGTGCCAATTTCAGAGACAAATAAATTGTAGCAGTAAATTGAAGTTTGAGTTTAGTTTAATGTCACTAAATTTTTTATGAAATTTTTTAAATCCATCCTTTTATTTGAAAATAATTAATAAATAAATAAATAAATAAATAGTTTCTCAAGTTTCTACAATGCATGTGTAATCTTAACAAAATATTTTATATATGTAAGAAAAATTATTCAGTAAGTGTAATAAGTTATGTAATTGTTTCTCTTTTTATTTTTAAGATCGATAAATTTAGAAAAATACATAAAGGAAAATGTTTTTCACTAAAAGATATTGTGGTGTTTAAGGATAATGATAATGTGGAATCCAATGCATTGACTTATACCTATACTGAGGATGACAAAATGAAGGTAAATACAATCTTACTTATATTAAATAAACAAATTTTTAAATAATTTGTAGAGAAAAAGATTTTTTGTCATATTGTAAAATATTATTTTAAAAGTTACGAACTCAAACTTTTCTTGGATTTTAAAATGAAATCACTTTTAATTTACTACTCTGAATATCCAATAGCTTTAAAGAACTTCAACTATATGATTTTTAAAACAATGGACATCAACATGAAATGAATAAAAATACAAAGCCTAGTTTATTGTATTCATTGCCATTTTAGGAAGAGATCAAGTGATTAAAATCTTTTAAATAAGCTAAAACTAGAAACAAAATTAATGAATAAAACAACCATGAGATTCCAGAAGAATTCAGGTTAATGAAACTAATGTTCTAACCAAATTTTAAAGGTTATCTTCTTAGAATGAAGGAATAGAATATAATTCAAAATATAGGACATTTAAGGCATTAGAACATTTGAATGGAACTTGTGCACAAAAAATTCTTTACATATTTTATTTTTTATTTTTATTATATTTTATGGATATATATATTTTACTTTTTATTGATATATAGTAACATTTTTGAGAATATAATGATATATAAATTATATATGAAGTATAGTGGCCATAAAATAAACAAATGATCAATATTGAAAAAATCTAATATATAAAGTTACATTGACATGAAATGTTTGATTGGAACCAGATTTTTTATTGAAAATGTAAACAGTCCATTGAGAAAATACTTTCAATACATTACTAGAAAAAACTAAAATTTTGAAAAATCAAATGTTTTGTTTTATAAGTTGTCAGTTTAATACTGAACACCTAATAAATAAAATGATGTGTGAAAAACATTTTAAGCACTGTCTTATTGTTTTTTTAAATTTATAACTACTAATTTGCTTGCAGTATTTTAAGCTACAACAATTTTTTTTGTTTTACTATTGATTATTTTTTTATTAAAACTGTCTGATATATAGATTAAATGAACTGCAAATAATGTACAAGGTGAGTCAAAAATTCTTTCATTACAAAATTGATCACAGGGTCAGCACCACGTCAAGATGCCATGTCAGGACTGACTCTGCACCATCTCTATCCTGAATTCAACCACCTACAAACGCAACCACTCACACATGAAATGAACATAATCGTCATCACGATTTCTGTGTTCTCTAAAACATAGTGATGTCAGTGATTCTCTAAAACACAATGATAAAATTTCATTCCTTTAGTAAATAATAAAAAATTTTCAAAATACAAATTATTAATTTGCTTTTCCTACTCAATATTTTTAAATTTAATTTAAGAGAGAAATTAACTTTCATTTTTTTCACTAATTCTCAACACAACAATAAATTTTTATAGGTAGAAGAATTTCAAAACTGGAGGAAATCAGTCAACATAAAGTATAAAACTTTTTCTGATATTACAAGTGGAGAATATGCTGATATTTTATGTCAAGTAAATGATAATTTTAAGGTATTTGATCAATAAGTAGGTTCAGTTGGTAAAAATGTATAATTTAGGTTTTTAGTAGTATTATTAATTTTATAAATATTATAATAAATTTATACTAAATCATTTTTTGATGATAAATTTATTGAAATTAATAATTTATGATTTTTTTTATAATCATTAAATACAAATTTAGCTTGGAAGTTTATTTTAGTATGTAAAATGTTCAGTTTTAGAAGTAAATGATATATTGATAGTCTGAATTCACATCATTGATCTCTGATTTCATTTGGAAAGCAGATCTGATTTACATTTAAAAATAATCCTTTCATTAATGAATATGTTTTTAGTGATAAATTTATTGAAATTAATAATTTATGATTTTGGTATAATAAATATGGACAAGTCTGTTTTTTTAGCTATAAAGTTCTTTATTTGCTGATGAAAATTTCATTACAAAACTGATGTAAGAACATGCATGTTGATGAAATTATTTGTAATAAGTTAGATTTCTGTTTTCATTATTAAATTTGTCATGTATTGTTGGATTTAATTGACTAAACCATTTACCAACAATTCACTAAAGTTATTTATTTTCAACCTAAAGCTTTATTAGTAGATGTAAGTGCAGATAATGAAGAAGAAAAAACAACATACCCAAAAAGAAAATTGTCAGTGATTTGATTTCATCTCAACAATCTAAAACATTTGCTAGCAGTTCATCAGATAACAAAATTCAGCTTTATTTCACTAATTTTTGTAATTTTAAGGAGTTAATTATAAAAAAAAACAGCAGAATTCAAAATTCAAACAAAATTTGACAGTTTTTCAAAGCAGGTTTACCTAAAACATGCACTTTGACATTGAACATTAACTTCATACTACAAGGGAATTGTTTCAATATATCATCATTCAAAGGCAAATAAATAGAAATTTTTTTTGTGTTTTTGTTGAATTTTAGTTTAAGATTAAGATGATTTATCATTTGTTTAGTTAAATACAATTAAAGTGTATTTTATAAAAAATGTTTGTTTATTTATTTTAATTTAGATCATATACTTGTTTATTATAGTGTCAGAACTAGTGAGTACATAAACAATAATACATATATAAAACTTTTCTGTGAAATTAAACTTTTCATAAATACATAATTTTAATTACACAAACTTATGTACATAAATAAAAACAGATAAATTAATTTGTCAATTTTTTAACACATGCATTTGGAAAACCTATTTTATTATATAACAGACTTTTGGCTTTAACAGATACTTCCTCATTCAAATTAGTCCATTAAATTGAGGTTTCACTGTATTATGTTGATGGTGGAGTATGTAGTGGTGCCTAATGTTATGCTGGACCAAAGCCAAGGCATAACTACAGAAAATAAATATTTGTTTACATTCTGGTTGTGTTTGAACTTTTGTTTAAGAATTTCCTAACTATGTGTCAGATGTTTAGTATGGCAGTCTTCTATAGTGTGCTGTTGTGAAATGCTAATGTTTCAAGGCAGTTATGGATATGTTGTTTTCTATGCCTGTCTGAGATGTGTATTTGCATTTTGGCTCCTGGGTGTGTAGAAGTTTATGCTTGTGTGCAAGCTCTTGAAACATTGTATTTGCTATTTGGTTAGGTTGAAATAAGTAGTTAGTTTGCATTAAACACTTTCAATCATATATAATGTGATATATGATTTTTTATGATGTGACACTTCCTACGTGTTTTCTGTAAGTGTTATGTCTTTTAGAATATGCTTTCTGTAGTTTTTTTGTATTTATGATATAGTTTTATGTGACAATCATGAACTCTTTTCTCTTTTTCTAAAGAGGTATCCATGAGTCAGCCAGCAGTTTAATACAGTTCTGTCAACATGATTCTGGCTGAGATCATTAGGGTGCATCATGGAGCTCTTTCCAAACCAAGGCTGCTTGATAGTGTGTGTGCATTCTGTGTATCCTATGTTAGATCCACATCACTGTTGTGGATTGGACTATGAATGCAATTGGAGCTGTGGTATTCAATAATGTCATTGAGAATTGAGATTGATTGTATTATTTTATATACCTGTACAAGTTTTTCTTCATTTTAGAAATAAATTAAAAGTTTTTGAAAAAAAAAAAAATAATGTTTGATATCAGTTTATTTCATCTGTATTTTCTAATCATTTTAGAAATAAATTGTTTTGAAAAACAGATTGAAAATATTTTAAATTAGATTTAAATTTTTTGTGTTGACTATTATAATATTTAATTCTTTCTGAATTTTTTAATTGCTTTTAATTTGTAAATTGTAAACATAGGAATAAAAGTTTTTTTTTTTGTTAGAAATTTTAAAGTCTAAAATACAGGCATACACTGGACTTGCGTACACTTGACTTAAGTGCACATGCACTTACATATGCTTTACATTGAAAAACCATATCCTGAAGTTATAATGCTTACTTTCAACTAATATACATTTTACACATGCTATGTGCTGCTGCCTGCACAGCATATTGTTTCTACTACAGTACAGTATAAACTACACTGCTGGCCATTAAAATTGCAACACCAAGAAGGATAAAAGCTATCAAACCCATATGTATTATACAGAAAACCTTTGGAACAGAGGTGAAACGACTATCTTGTGCAGCTACCAGGGCAGTAATAACTGCTGTTACAAAGTCCAGAATAGAGAGGACTAGATGCTAGATGTGTGCCTGGATTATGTCAATCCATACCATTTTGATATGTTGTCAAAGTTAATCTGCTGCAGCTGCAGGTTGTCTGTAGCACACCTGTCATTGCGCGATCTTGAACCACACATGTTCAACAGATGAAAAATCTGGTAACCACATGGGCCAAGAAAGAAGCAGAACTTGGATGCAGTTGAGAAACTGTTGGACTCTATATACCATATGAGGTTGGTAAATGGCTCTAGGCAGACTCTGGAGATAAAAGACAAAAACAGGCTTCAGCACCTCAGAAATATAATGATGGGCATTTAATGTACTGGGAATGCATACTAGGCACAAGTGTGACTGAAATGAAATGGTATCTGTACTATAACACCAGGTGCTGACCAATATGTAGATTCATAATATAGGTCTTATTATTTTCAGTCTTTTTCTGTGGTATTTTTGGAAGGATAATCTGCAGTTACAATGTACCACAATTCTCCAACTATCAAAATCAAAAATGTGCTGTATTCTTCATGGAGGCATACTTAAGCTGTCCATGCACAAGAACAGCAAGAAAACACAATTCCAATGCTTAAAACTGGCTTTCAGTTCTCTCCTCTTACCCTGCTTCTAAGGTGCATTACTGGCAAACATCATTTGTATTTGTGCTATACTGCTAATCATTTACATGTTCTCCCATAATCTTTGCATCTTGCAAATCTTGAAATAATTGTATGTGTCTTTCTTGGTGTTTCAACTTTAATGGCCAGTAGTATATATTTACTCTACTAATAACGATTTCATCCTAACAAAAACATAGACAACTTCATGTGCTCAAATCTAGCAGTTTTGGTTTTGGTAGTTTTTTTAATACTTTAGAGATTTGGCAACACTGACTGGAATTGACAGTTGTAGAGATGAAATGATCACAAAATAAACTGAACAAAAACTGTTTTCTTGTGCTTAAATTGAAAATGCAATAGCTTATTAAAACTGGCAAATAAAGGTAACAAGAAAAGTCTTAAGGCTATTGCATTGAATATTAAACTGAATACAATTAATTTCAGTGGTAAAGATGTATCACAGTCAGTGGAAGGCTAAAGATTTGACTTCTCTTGCTCCACAGTGAACATTATTATCAAAAATAAACATAAAATTCTTAAAGAAGTTAAATGTGCCAACCCAGTCGTCACTAGTCTGATTAGGAGAAGAGATAATTTAGTTACAGATATGGAGGAATTTTTGATGGTGTGGATGATATACAGTAGACCCCCTATAACGCTTAGATACGTTCCACGCTAATCGAATTTTACGTTGTAGGAATGATTAAATATATGAGCCAATCACAGCCCGATAGGTGGGAACTTTACGGACTAAGGCTGTTCAAAAGGTTTTCTTCTATAAAATTAACTGATTCTAGACTAATTCCACTCAACATTTCCAAAACACGTATAATTTTTTGGGAGTAATCCGTATAAACTATGCTATAAACAAAAAATTATAGGATTACTTACCGAGTGTGTACCGTTCGACTACGCCGTTGCTTAAAGCTGGTTTTCGTTGCGGAACAGCACATGAAACGGCAGCCGCGATTTCTAATAACGAATTTTTCGTAGAAAAATAACTTGACCTTTGGAGACATCATTAATATAAATAATTTTTATGGCCGTTGAATAAGAAATGTTTCTTTCACAAGAAATGTATAAAATTACAGTACTGAACAGACGATAGGTCGCCTAACTCGCCGTAGCGTGACGCTAGACGGCGGAAAGTATATATTTAATTATAATAAAGTTACAATAAATTAAGTTAATATATAATTATATATACAGTACCTAATTTATATATAATTAATATATAATTATATGTACAGTACCTAATTTATATATAATTTATATATAATACTGTACAGACGATAGCAAACTCAATTTAGCCGCTCCGTAGCGTGTTGCAGGGTCGGAGGAAAGTAGTTCGGCTGCTCATCCACTATTGGTCCAGATTCTATCAATCTTGTCGCGAAACGACGTTATAGGAGGTATTTTATACGAATGTTGCTACAATTTTTTCGCTATGTTATAGGAATTGTCGTTATAGGAACGCACGCTATAGGGGGGTCGACTGTAATTGATGCTTAAACAGGAAAAAAAAATATATATATATGTATATATGGCTTGGAGTTAGGCTATAATTCAAAGTAAAATGCAAAGTTTATTTGATGATCTCCAAACTAAAAGTAGGTGAGACAACTAAAGATGTTACATTCAGTGCAAGTAGGGGATAGTTTGATCATTTTAAGAAAAAACAAGCCTACATAACATCAAAGTGTAAGGAGAAACTGTAGGTGAAGAGACAGTAGCTGCAGAAACATTGTTTTTGTAGCCAATAAAATGTACTTTTATACATTTTTTGTTTCATTTGAATATCTGTTTTCATTTGAGAGTTATGAGCAAGTGTGCATTAATTTTCAGCTAATCCTCATACATTGCATTGACTTAGACTTATTTACAGACATTCTGGAGTCAAGCCTTCTGTAAGTCTGGGTATGCTTGTAATTTAGAATCTACATTACATTGTTGTTAAAAAAGTAAATATTCTTGATATTTTCAGATTATAAGTGTTAATGTAGTCAATGATGATTTGGTGATATTAAAAGTGTGGGATGGCAGTGAACCACAATGGTATGTATCATGATCTAAAGTAATTAAATGTGTTTTAAATTTTATTAATAGAATTTTATAAAATTCTGCATTTGCGTGTGTGTGTGTTGGCATCTATTTCATTTAAGGATGGAGGTTAAAGATTTATAAAAATGAAATATTTATTTGATATAAACAAGATGAAGAAAATCATTAATGAAATTCTTTATAATAAAATGATGTATTGATATTTTTTATGTATAATATATAAACCTCTGTGTGTGTGTGTACACTGAGTGGCCAAAAAATTAGAGACACCTGTTATTTGAAAGTAAATCAGTCCGACAATGATGTAGAGTGATGTAACAATGCAAAGTGTCTTATATAAGGTATGCTCAGCTTCGGATGACGTAGTTATCATGGAAGTTAATGTCAAAATGGGTAAGACAAAAGATTTAAGTGACTTTAACGAGGGATGATTGTCAGTGCAAGAAGAGCTGGTGTCAGCATCTCTGAAACGATGACTCTTTTAGGATTTTTTTCACCTAACAGTATCTTGGGTGTTTAGAGAGTGGTAGATGAGAAAACAACTTCAAGCGATAAGGACAATTCTGGTCAAAAAAGGCTGGTGAACGAGAGAGGTGAAGGGCAATTAGCACACATAGTTTGCAGCAACAGAAGGGCAACAATACGACAAATTACAGCTGAATTCAATGCAGGTGCATCACAAAGCATATCTCCAATGCACAACAAAATACACTTTGCAAAGGATGGGCTTTAGCAGCAGGAGACCATCAAGAGTGCCTTTTGGTATCACAGAAAAATAGGAAAAGGTACCTGGTGTGGTTCCAGGAATGACAAAATTGGTTACTTGAGGACTGGAAAAAGTAGCCTGGTCCAATGAATCTCTTTTCCTGCTCTATCATGCAGATGGCAGGATCCAAATATGGTGCAAACAGCACAAATTCATGAACCCCTCCTGCCAAATGACAACTCTTTAGGATGGTGGCAGTGGAATTATGGTGTGGGGAATGTTTTCCTGGAGTACACTGGGTCTCTTGATATTTGTGGACACATCTCTGAATAGGACAGCTTACCTCAACATTGTTGCCAATCATGTACACTTGTTTATGATTGTAATATTCCCTGATGGAGATGGTCACTTTCAGCACGACAATGCACCTTATCACCATGCTCGATTAGTCTCATATTCAATCATAGTTTAACCTGCTTCCATGGCCAGCTCAGTCCCCTGACCTCTATCTTATAGAGCATTTGTGGGACGAAGTTGAAAGATTGCTTCAAAGCTTGGAAATGCCACCATCCAATCTGACCCAACTTAGAGCTGTCATTATGTTAGCATGGGCCAATATTCCTCAGCAATGGTATCAGCAACTTGTTGAGTCCATACCAAGAAGAATATTGGCTGTGATCAGAGATAAAGGTGGACCAACTCGTTATTAAAGGGTGTCTCTAATTTTTTGGCCATTCAGTGTACTGTATATCCACATTATGCTTAACATTTAATTTATTTGCAGTCCCTTAAAATCTTATCAAGGAGTATTTAAAGAAACAAAATCGTATGAAAAATTATTGCATTTGTCAAAATACATAGTAGATATTTGGATATATGATTTTCATGCTAAAGAAGCAGCTAAATTAGAGGTATGCTATATAAAATTTAATTATATTAAACAATTATTATATTAAACAATTATAGTTTACAATATATATGTTTAATGTAAATGTATACTCTCAATAAATATACAACTTAAGTTAATTTTAATTAATAATTTATAAATAATAAAATTTTATACATAGTTTTTAACATTTTTAATTTACAATATATTTCAAACAAAACTATTTTTTAAATTGATTAATAAACAAACACTCAAGTTCTCTGATTTTAAAAAACATACTTTATATGTTACTGCCTTTTTATTTCATAGATCTCTCTATCTTTCATAGGAGGCTATGTGATGTGAACAGGAAAGTTATCAGTAATTCAATTTGCAATTTATTAGCTATTCTTAATAACTTGTTCAACTTCAGACTTAACAAAAGTCTGAATCTAATGAGAAAATGATAATGGAATTAAATCAAAGTTTAGATTGGCAGTTGAAGAAATCAACACTACAATATATACATCTCAAGCAAGTTACTGTAACTAATGAGTTTAGAGCAGTATTAGCAGAAATAAAACATACATATAAATATCAATATCAAAGCAAATAAATATAAGAATATATCTAAGAACATTATCAAAGAAAATTAATAGGAAATAAGTATGAAATATACCTGAAGTGACAGGAAGTTAAGCAACAATCTGAAACAATTAATTAAAATTTGCTTTGTCTACAATAAAACTCACATAGACTCAAAACACAAAATTTTTCAGTCTGAATATTTTGTATCTAGAGTAAGAATGTTACTGTCAGATAAATCAGTTGATTGTTTTTTAAAACGTTATTTTTACAAAAGTGAATAACATTAAAATATTTTTTGGCTAAATGTAATTTTTTTTATTTTTTACTTTTACAATTACTTCTTGTTCTTTGTTATCTTGATTTCAGAAATCTTTGTTGAAATAAAATATATAATAGAAAACATTCAATTTTTATTTATTAAAACATTCATGATTTTTTGTTACATAAAGGCATGTTATAGAGAAATAAGGAAGAGCATGCATATACATGTCTGTGATAATTTTAGGAAAAATTGTGATGATGGAAAAATATGTAAGTGGCATGCAGAGGATTTTTTAAAATGTTTTTTAAGCACATTCTTGGTAAATTTAGACAAAGGAAGAAATGTTTGAAGAGTTTGTAATTGCAAGTTAAAATTGTAGCTATCTCATAGGTTATCCTCACAAAGTTATAAAAAAAAAAAAAAATACATAAAAGACAACAAATAGAATATTTAAATGAAACAAAGGAATTTATGACAAAGAATACAAGAAAAAACATTTTGGACAATCCTTTATAGTCAAAAATGAAAAGTAAGAAAAAAATAAAAATAAATAGAGAGCATATTGAAACTGTACTGTACATAGGAACTTATACAAAAAAAGTAAAATTCATAAAATAAAGTAATACTTATAATGATAACTTCATCTAGTTGTTAAACAAATCAGTCATGGCTTATTAAATTGTTTTCAATATTTCTTAAAATTAACTAGAATTACCATTACAAATTTATTGAAATACATTAACATTTACAGGATGATTCAAAACTCAAAGAAATTTTAAAAAATTAATAACTTGCAAACTATTTACAGTAAGATGATGTGGTTTTCACAGAAATGTTTAGAAAGAAACAGGATTTTTTTGTGTAATAAAAATTTTAGTACCAAAATAGTTACATTTCTTGCCATAGATGGCACTTGATAAGATTACATTATTTGTGAAGTTGTTACTAGAGCTTACACTAAGAACATTTTTAGTTTTTTATTCTTACTTTAACAAATTTACAAATGATTTCAGTTTTTTACAGCTCCATCTATGGCAAGAAATGTAACTAATTTGGTACTAAAATTTTTATTACACTAAAAAACCCCACCTTATTCTAAGGATTTCTGTGAAAACCACATCATACTGTAAATAGTTTGTGAGTTATTAATTTTTTAAAACTTCTGTGACTTTTGAATCACCTTGTATAATTGTTGTTATGATGATTTTTTTGATGTATTTTGTTGTTATATGTGATCTTTCAACAGGAATATACAATATATTGTTTTTGATTTTTTTAATCTTATTATTTAACTTTCATCTGATTTCAATAAAAATATCATATCTGAGATTTTTGAAATCTTTCTTCAAAAATTTGAAAAACATGAAATTGAAGAATGTCTATTAAATGTCCTAGAATTATTCAACATAAAAGTTTTTATACTAATGTAAAAAGTGACAGTGTTTGTTTGTTTGCTTGTTTGCTGGAGGTAATCTCAGAATCTATTGAACCAATTTTTTAAATTATTTTGCTGTTGAAAAGCTTATTCCTTTGAGATGAACATAGACTATATACTATTTTCACATTAAAAAAGGAAAAGGCACAGAAAAGATGTTTATACTGTGGCATTTTCTGGCATTGTTTGTCTGCTCTGTTCAAGGTCATTCTCCTTTGCCACCTGGTGGGCTTTTTGAAACTTTTTTAAAACCTAAAATTTTGGCTTTTTTTCAGTAACTTACATCACATCAGCATCTTTTATAAAAGTTTTTATAATTATCCAGTTAATTGCCCAATTTTTAATATAAATTTGTATTCAATAATTGGCTAATGTAAGTAAAAAATTTTTATTGTAAATATTTTCTGTAAACATTTATGTGTGATGTAATTTATAACTATTATTTATTTTAATAAGATCTGTATAAAAAATAAGGATTGAAGAGGGATCATAAGATTCAAAATGCATGTCCACATCCAGTAATAAAATCTATATCAATAAGAGTACTTTGTGTGATGTAAGTTACTGAAAAAAAGCCAAAATGTTAGGCTTTAAAAAAATCCACAGAAACTAGTAATGGAAACAATCAGTTTTTTAAACTTATTATCTTATGTATTTGGTTTTGGTTTGTGCAATTTCGGTAGTTTTGTATATGCTTTGTTTATGTTGTCTTAGTTGTTTGTTTCTTATAAGAATACTCTTATGTTATCAGATTATATAATTATAAGGAGCAAATTTACTTTCCTTATATGAAACTAAACTTTTGTATGTAGGCTTTTAGTATTTTTATATGTTCATTATTTTTGTATTAAACCTATCATGCCATTATTTAAAAATAGAAATTAGTCTTATGTTATTAGATTGCTACCTACATAAATTGAGTTCTTTTGGTTACTTTTCAGGTATATACAAGTGCGAGTGAGCACTATCGACAATAAAATGCCTAAAAGAAAATCACAGTTGTCATGAAATACATTTGTGTCAAGGACCCCTAACTCCTTCCTGCTGATTTCATCTCCCCTACAAACTCCCAAACCCTTTGATCAGTTTAGACCAAATTCTGCACAGTTACTCTCTGGTACCCTAGGAGACATGGACTACCATAAAACTCAGACCCATTACTACCCCTCTGATTTCATTTCCCTACTCCCAAACATTTTGAGCAATGTGGGCAAATTTTGCATAGTTACTCTTTACATTTCTCCAATTAATATACATTAACTTTAAAACTCAGACTTTCACTCCTTTCCCTATGATTTCATCCTTCACAAATACACTCAGAAAGTTGTTTTGACCATTTTTGAATTAAGTGATTTGTCCTTGGGAAGGCTTTTTATAGATGATCAATAGTGTTTTTAAGTTATTATAAATTTAACTTATAAATTATTAATTTTATAAAATTTACTTATAAAATGTAATACTTTATTTTATTTTTAAATAAAATAAAGTATACTTGTATACTTTATTTTATAAAATTTACTTATAAAATGTAATACTTTATTTTATTTTTAAATAAAATAAAGTATACTTGTATACTTTATTTTATAAAATTTACTTATATTATTTAAAGTATTTTTTCACTTATACAAAGTTATAAAATTGTAAAGTATTTCTGTAAAATAATATGCAATTACTGAATTTTGGATTGTGGTGGTTTTTATTTATATTGTTCTTTATGCTTTTCTTTTAGCCACTACAGATAGTTGAAATACGAAATGTTCATATGTACATATCTAAAAATTCCTTGTTGAAGTCTAAAAACCAGATTTGTCTACATTCAAGTACTAATTTAAAAAGAGCTATTTCTGTTTTGACAGATAATAATTTTCTTGTTAAAAATTTTAAAGAGTAAGTAATATTAATTTACTACTGTTTTATGTTTAATATTTATGTTACATGATATTAATAATTGAAAAAAAAATCTGTAAAGTAAATCTTTAATTTGAATAATAATTCATTGAATTATTATTGAACAAAAATAAAATTGATATTTCAGTGATTTATATATAGTGTTTATGTGAAATTCAATACATTTTCATTACAATTTATCTGCTTAAAAGATGTTTGATGAACTTTTAATAACAACTATAATGTTTTGGCATTTTATCTGATTATTAGAATTGGTTAAAAATAAAAGATCAGCTAAACAGTTAAATAAAAATCATCTAGTTTTAATTGGATTAATTTAATTAAATTACTGGTTAACCTTTTTCATTTCATGTACCCCCTTCATGAAAATAGAAAACATCCATAAACTTAAAATAGTTAAAAATGTTTTTTCAATGGTTGCTTTATAATTATGGAGTTTTCATTATTAATTTTCAATTTAAAGTATTGCTACACTTATTTTAGTACTAAAGACATGAAGTTATTCAGTAGGAAAAAAAGATTAAACTAAACTAACTGAACTTGGACTTCAAAAATGTATAAAATATTAAAGTTTGTAAAGAATTAAAGTTAGCAGCTTTCATGTACTTTGGTCTACAAAATTTTGAATTATGTACATATAAACTTTTTTTAAAGTGAAAAATTGCTGATTATATTTGGCAGCTATTACAGATGTTTTCACTTGGGTAATGCTGAATTAGACAAATTGTAACTAAAGAATTTTTGTTTAACTGTTAATATATACTGATTAGCTATCTGGAATTTATTATGTAACCACTTTTAGATTCAATATTAAAAAATATATATATTAAATAAACAATAGTGATGGATATGTAGAGTTATTGGATTGAAAAGTTATCTTTATTAGCAAAAAATCTTTGAAACTTGCATGGAATTTTCTAGAATTTCATTGCTATTTTTAAATTTTTAAAAATAAAAACTGATAAAAAATATTTTAACTCCAAAATATGAATGATACATAGAAAATGTTTTATATGAAATAATAAAAAATTAACAACTTAAAATACCAGAAATAATTCCATGAATAATGAACATTATAAACATGATGCATTAAATAATTTTTTGTTTAATTACTCATTTACTATTTTTGAGATCTATTGGGTTGTTCAGAAAATAATTTCATTTGTTTTTTTTTTCCCCATAAAAAATTTTTTTTTATATATATATAAAAATTTGATTGAATTATATATTGACTGTTTTAGTCAAATACCTGTTGCCATCTTTCTGGTAGTAGCATGATTCCACATTCACAAAAGTTTTGATCTTTGCTTACAAAAAACTTGATCCAAGTGATTTTTGACATCCTCATTTGAAGTAAATGTTTTACTGTTTGAAAAATTTTGTAAAGACTGAAACAAGTAATAATCCATAGATGCCAGATCTGGCAAATATGGTTGGTATGGTAGCAATCCCATCCAAGCTGTAATAGTTTCTGACGAGTTACAAACTTGTGTGAGATCTGGCATTATCGTGGTGAAACACTACACATTTTCTGTTGATCAATTCTGGCCTTTCCTATTTGATGGTATCACTCAATTTGTTTATTTGATGGCAGTACACTTTCGAATCAATTGTGAAATTATCTGGTAGAAGTTCAAAAAAAAAATTTCCAAAATATCCCACCAAAGAGAGCATCTCTTTCTTCAAGAACATGTGGAATCCATATATCAAGTTTTGAAATGAAACCAAGTCATTTCAAGTGATCATAAATGGTTCAATTGGACATATATCGGGGTCACGACCTTTGACTCACTGGGTTAAATTCAATATATCTCATTACAGTATCAGTACGTTTTTGATACTAGATGTCAGTATGCATCATATTTTTTTTATATTAAAATGAACTTTTGAAATATAATTGTGTTTGTTTTTATATTTTTCAATATATTTAGTTTGTTTGTGCAAAACAAAAAATAATTTTTAACGATACAGTAGTCACGATTATTATTTAAAAAAAAAAATTTGTTAGACTTAACATCAACAAAAATTCAACATGGCAGCCACATGCAACGGAGAAAAATTTCAACGTGGGATAGATTAATCTCTTAGCAATTTCTCATGTTGTTATTTGGCAGTTTGCTTCAATCAATACCTTTATTTTGTCTTCATCAGCTTCAGCTGGATTTCCAGAACATGGTGCATCTTCAATATCAAAATTGCCAGAACAAAATTTTGTGAACCAGTTTTGCACTGTCATTCGGTCAACACATCTTCTCCATACATGTCACACAATTTTTTTCTTGCTTGAACAGCGTTTTTACCTTTTAGGTAATAAAAAAGCAAAATATGCCAAAAATGCTGCTTTTAATTTTCCATATTTGATGGGACACCCAAAAAAAAAAAAACAATTGTACAGAATCAAACAAAATTTTTTACAAATAAGCCTTGAAATGTCAGTTGTCAAAATATATAATGACAATATTGTTTAAAATGAAATTGGCAGGTAAAAATACAACCAATTCCTCTGGTGATTAAAAAAATGAAATTACTTTCCAAACAACCCAATATATTCAAATGAGAAAAAAATTTTTTAAAATTAATTTGAATAATAATTTAATATGAATGAAAATAAAATTGAAATTTCACATATAGTATTTATGTAAAATTTAATACATTTTGATTTTGCATTAAAGTCGTTTTTTTTTCTTTCTATTAAAATATGTTCAGTCATACTTTATTATTGGATTTAACATTCAAAATATATCAATATGATATACATATACTGAGATTGTTTTATATATATATTTATTTGTAAAATCTTAACATTTTTGCTTAGCATATGAGACTGTTTAATGCATTTCAGTTAGTTTCTTTACTCTTTGAAAAATAAAACTAACCTTCAGTTTATTTTTACTTTCACTCTAATTAGAGTCAGAAGGAGAAAAACTTTTAAAAGTTTAATTTTTTATTGTATTCTTTACCCAATAAATTTTTTAAAATAACTAATTATTTTAGAAAGTATTGTAGTTTTCAAATGTCAAATAAATCTGAAAAATGATGCCAAATAAATGCAGATATTAAGTTGAATAATCATGTTCTATTAATTTGCAAATCATTCTAACTTGAATATTGAGAGAATTTAAGTATGTAATAATCAATTTTGATAGTACAGCTATCCCTCACTTAACGACTTTAATTCATTCTTGAAAACTCTGTCACAAAGCATCTCGACTGAAATTATCCAAACATTTTTTACAGATGGAAAAATATATCAATTGAGAAGAATGAAAACAAGCTTACATTAATAATAAACAACAATCTGAAAGTAAATAAATACAATTTGAACAGAAGATATAATATAATGAAGGGCATTTTTGTACTTGCCAAAAGACAATAAGATGATTTAACAATATGATGGATAGTAGTTAATGATAAATGAGATCAAGGGAGTCATTCTCTAGAAAGTTGTATAGAGTCAAGTAATCTACCTTCTAATTCTGTGTCTAAATCAAATGTACCTGATGATAATTTTCTTTTTCTTGATACTTTTACACTAAAAATTCCTGATATGAAAGGCTTTGATATATTCATAGAATTGTAAATATCTCTGTTAAAGAAATTCAAGATAGAACTTTATTTGCTTTCTCGTAATTTATGTTCATGTTTCTTCTTTTTTGTGTTTTTATTCTTTTTTCCCTGTGGAAACTAAGAAAGTCTTTAATCAGGTCAATTGTGGGTTTGGCCAAGCCCATAATAGGGTTTTCAAGTGGTGAGGGATGGATCTGATGTATTTAGAATAGCAATAAAGTTTCTAGATTTTTATTGTTTCGGGTTTGTTCCCAGGTCCCCCAAATCAATAGACTAACATCACTGCTCAGCTATTTTCTGACATCATCTTGAAGTGATAACATTTTTGAAATTATAATTAACAGTAAAATTATGGACAGTTCTTTTTTGTCTGTATTGTCCTTCAGAAACAATAAAACAAATTATCTTGCCTTTTCTTCTTCATCTTCATCATCAGAGAATCTATGTTTGTAATTGAGTTCACTTAATGTAAGTTCTTTATTATGATATTTCAAAATTCATTGACTGCATCAACTTTTTGAAAGCCAGTCTTGTTTGCAAGAACCAAAATATTGCTTTTACATCAGCCACTTCATTAAATTCTGTAACATCTGCAATAAATTGAAGACAGATTTTTCCACACAGAATTCATTCTTTGTGGGGTGACTCCCTTTTCAGTCTTTTGTAAATTGTATTTTGTTCAATTTTTCTCATTATCTCTTCTTCTTTCTGCATTTTTTCTTTATTACTTTCCCAACTCTTATAACAAAGGGAAAGTATGGTGATCTGGCAAAAAATGAACCCCCCAGATTTTTACATTTTTGGACTTAGGACACATTGAAATATCTAGAAATGCAAACAAATTTGGGAGTAATTTATGTATGTATTGATGTTAGTATGTGTGGGAGGGCACAATTTTGTTCACCCTGTTTCAAGCTTAACAACGCCTGTGTTTTTTGTCGAAAATTTCTGAAAATTTGCAGGGAGGTTTGTTTATTAGGGGATTGATGTTAAATTTTGGTGATTAATTAAAGGTCGGGGGTGGGGAGATAATGGGGGTTATGTTCATCTCCAATAGGGTCAGACTTAATGATGATTTTATTCGTTATTAGCTTTTACAATTTTTTATAAAACTCATCCCTACCCTCAAAATTAAGCTTTTTGCCATTTTATAATTCAGTAGAGCATCGATTATCCTAATCAATTGGGGACTGGGGTTGTTCAGAAAATCGATTTTTCAGATAACCGATTATGTACAAAAAAATATATTAACCTATCCCATGTTGAAATTCGTTCAAACCCTGGCATGTCCTTAAGCACCCTCTCATGGTCGCGTCAGTGCTGCCAGCAAAAACACGCATATCAACAAAAATAATATTGGAGTAGCCAATATTGCAGCACCACAGCACTAGTCGAAATTTAAATTTGTTGAC